ATTGTTCTGTCAACAGATGGCTGATATGTCCCTCTATCAAGGTGTGAATGCTGTTCACTCTCCCTTGTCTTCACTGTCACCAAACATCTTGTTTCTGCAGATTCCTGTTTTGGCTGATACTAAATAACATTGAGGTGTTCAGGCCACAGCTATATATACAATGGGTCCAACTTCTAGTCCTTCTCTGTAAGGTCCAGACAAACAAGCAAGCAAACTTAAGAGCCAGAAACACCAGTTGCTTAACCAGTCTACCTAACAGTTTTCTTAATTTGAAGCCAAGCTGTTAACTAACCCCAAGATGCTGAGAGTGACTTGGCTGTACTTGGTTATACCTGACCTGGCAAGAAAGCTTATGAGCTAGGAATACCTAATGTAGTCTAATGACATTTGATATTGGGGGAGGGCAACCATTAACAATTGGGCAACCAAATGCTGTTTGCTGAGCCCATTTTGCAAATCACACCTTCTGATTTGGTCTTTTTCTGCTATACATCTCTCCTACTGCTCCTGCCACTTCTTCCTAAGTTTTCTGCCCAGTAGCTAACAAAGTCTCTTCACCCTCCTGCCTCCCTCAGGCCTGCAAATCATCTCACATACTGACAAGAAGCGGATTTCTTCCCTCCAACTTACTTGTAGTTGTCATAATGTGACTCCTCATGTTTGTGCTAAACAGAGCCTCAGGCCGGGTGAGATAGCACCTGTGACAGCCTTTGCAGTAGCAGCCATCACTGAATACATTTCAGGCAATTAATTTTATAAAAAGAAACCTAGTGAGTACACATGCTAGCAAGTTAAAAATAATGAAAGGTGTCTGCAACCATGCTGCTTCTGCCTGGATCCTTCAGAGGAATTCAGTTGCTGAGAACAGCTTATGCAGCTTGCTATATTTCTATGTGTTAAACAATAACCAAATAACTACAGGCAAAAAAGTCCCAGCTGTCAAGCACCAGGAGTTTAGGGCCTGATCAGGGGAGTACAAGGCATTCTTTCTCCTGTAACCCACACACATCCTAGGTAATTTAAAAGGAAAATGAAAACGATGTTAAGGACAGAATGGGAAGCATGCTATATTCCCTTCAAGATGCAATGCCCAGAAGTTTGCAGAAAAAGATTTGTTCGACCATTTGTTCTGTTCCTTATATAACGCTCCTAACCATGCTTTACTGCATAATCTATCCAAAGGAATGTGTACTACAAGCCCTTTCAGACAGCAAGAAAGCTGAACTTTGTTCAAGTATGTGTATAGGATCTCTTTTTTGGGCAGGTTTCAGATACAATTAGAGGAACTGGAGGGCAGCGTTTGAAGCAGCTTCCATGACTGCTGCCTTATTCTGCAGAAAAATGGTTTGGGCTTCACTTTTCAGTCTAGGCTCTTTTTATGATATTTTAAATATGAGTTTTGTTTCAAACTGCTACTAATCAATATTGATTTCTAGGACAGAGGCAAGAAAAGCCATCTTTGTTTCTGCATACACAAATGAACACTAGAGAAGTTATTTAAGTATTAACAATATATGATCTTTTGACTTTTCATCACATTGCTTTCTTTCCAAGGTCTTATTACTCAGCCACAAAATTTATCCTTGGGTTGAAATCTCATACATGAGCTATGAGCTTAGAGCCGTTGTTTTTAACATGCACATTGGAAAACTTGAAAAAGACCTCCCCCCGCCCATTCCAGGGACTCCATATAGGCTATGCACAGAAACCCCACTGATTTTACTGGTGGTCTGGCAGGTAAAGGGTACGGAGAACAAAACCATCATGAAGATTAGGAGAGGGTACTTTTTCTTCACTTCCAGGTCATAGGTACAAAATACTAGCGTAGGAATGAAATGTTGTTTTGCTGGTTTGAGAGTTTGTGCCTATGTAGTACATACACAGGTACACACAGAACAAATAGAATAATTTCTCGGATTGGAAATAGAAAGTCAAAATTTTAAAGTCATACTGTGACGAGAGGCAGATCAGCATAGCTGGCAAGGCACAGACCCAAATGAATGCTGTGGTGCAATGGGTCAGTGATCTGCAGACTTAAAATTACCTGCACTGTCTACTGACTTTGTATGATTTAGGCAGTCATTTGAATGTGACAGAGGTTTTACTGCCTATCAAGATATTGATTTGTAAATTAAAAATTCTCTTTGTGGAGCTTAACACAATGCTGTTTGCAAGTGCATGAAGCATCACAAAACTGTATCGAGTCAATACGCCAGGTTTTATTAACTCCCTATTTAGACATTTTCTTGGTTAAATTTAGTGTCTGCAAACTTCCTAATTGCATATTTACCTGAAAGATTTCTCAAAAGAGCCACTTCAGGTTGCTGGATAAACACATGCTTAGAGATGTCCTAATATGGAGTTTACAAAATATACACACAGTAAAAAAATTAAGGAATGAATGTAAACAAAATAATTTTGGGAAAATACATTTATGCTTCTAATTCATTATAGCCTTATTTGAAAAGGATGTTCTCATCTCATAATTTATTTTCTCTGAATCTGCCTAAGTCTGCATACCTACAGCAATAGAACTGTCTCCTTACTACTTCCTAATAGATGTTAATTGTTGATCATCACATCACATGATACTTTCAGCCACTTCATTATCTTGCCAAAATGACTGTTACAGAGCAAGTAAACTACTTCAGAACTAAAACCACTGAGTATATAAAAACTCTGGCCATAAGCTTCCAGCGTATGTTCTGATTTTAGAAGGTGAATGCAGACAGTCAGCCTGATTCATCCCTTATACATACACCATTAGGCATTTGGAGACAAAGGAAAACACTGAATATCTATTTATAAATTGAACCACATCCCTTTAGTGCACTGAAGGAAGGAATAACTTCCAGCTGGAAAAACACGGTGTGATAATATACTAAAGATTATTATGCGTGCGCACAAGGGAACTCAAGTGAAGTTGCTTACATGACTAAATTTGGTTGCAAGTGGTTGACTTTGCAGCAATAACCTTTTCTCTTATTTTTAAATAATCTCTTAATGTACATAAAATGCATAAATAATAAGAATGTGTTTATTCATGTTGATGTAATGTGGTGATAAAGTACACAAAGGTGAAATCAAACTTACTGTATAAGTATTACATAATAGCACAGAACAATGTTTTGAGCACAAAGCAGATTTTTAGAGCTGACGTTCTATATAATGTTAATTCATAGCATTTCATCTAGTAATTCCTACAGTAGAGGAAAACATTTCTCTTTCTTATATAAGTGGATGTGTTAAGACCAATAACTTGTGCTCAAAATAAAGCACATCTTTTAGAGAGCCACCCACTTCCTATTTAAAGATCTCAAACAGTGATTTACCAGTTTCCCTGAGTAAACTGGCCTATACATAAACTGTATCTAGAATCTTAAGAATGCACATATTTTCCCATATGAATTTACCTTTCAACTTGCAGTAACTGCAGTTTCTTTAGCCTCTGTCTACTGCCTTTTTGAAAGGCCTCTTAATATCTCGTGTAGATATGGATAAAGACACCTCTTTTCCTTCTCTTAAATGAGCTCCCTAAGTATCACTCAAACATATTCCCAGCACGGAGATTCTAGAAATTCTCAACTTTTTCTAGTTTTTCTTTTTTAATCCCTGTATAATTTTTCAGACTTTTTCAGTTTTAAACTAAATTTTTACAAGGTAAAAGCATAAACTGAAGACATTATAAGACCAGTAATTCTTGAATTTCCTTACTTCTGTTTTGGAGCTCTAACACTCTTCTAGTGAAAATTTTAATAATATCCCCATTTTTAAAAAAATGAGAAGAAAAGAAAGAGAGAAAGAAAAGCAGAGAGTTTGGACACCTGATCACTTTTATTGATTGGTCTTAAGTTATCTTGACTAATTTAAGCCGAATAATGTTAAACCTTATCTTAGATTAAGTTGCTCTTAGTGCTTTCTGATCACCTTAAACTCCCGTAAAGTCCTACTTAACATTCAAATTCTCTATTCAGATGTATTTTGAATGTGTTGTGTTTATTCACACAGCTGATATCTCCACTTCCCCCCACAGCCACATAATACTGCTGGATAAAAAACTCTAGGACAGCACAGATACGGAAGAGGTAAAATGAATGCAAAAGGCATTGGTGTCCTCTGTACTTCCCAGGCTTTAGGGAAGACTTTCCATTTCTTTTGTGGACATCTGAATCTGACAAATCAAAAGAAAATAAGAAATCTAGCATTGTTTTTTAGTTTCTCTACTGACATTTGTCTTAACGAATTCAAAAGTAGGAAATGGTCTGTGTGGTTAAAAATAGCTTTGTGACCGAAACAGCTACATTTCAGAGTAATTAAAAATTAACTTTTTAGGGTAGTATTCATACTAATTACAATTCATTTGGCTTTTACATTTGCTGAACTTGCTGCAGACTGCCCTTTTTTAAGTTAAAACCAAAATGTGGAAATACAGTTGTCCATGAAGCATGCCTTCCTAGGTCTGACATGGACATTTAGTGGAGACACCAGAGACCTCTTTAATTCCTTATTAGATATTGCCGTACAAATATTTTGAGAAGTAAAGGAAAAAAAATATTTTCAACAGAACTATTACCTTTTCTGCCACATCTTGCACTCGGTACACATGCAAGACTTCTATCAATTTTAAATGGGGGGTTTGGGTGTGGTCAGCTCTGTTAAGACTGGTTCTTCGTAGGGAAATGTGGCATGTAAAAAGGAACCAAAAAAGAGAATTCATTTTGGGAACTTTAATTGGGTTGCACAATTTGCCACTGTGCTACATATATTTCAAAGGTGTCCCATAATAGCAACCAGTTCTTTACAAAGGTCATTGTAAAATCATTTCCTGTATTACTTATTTCAGAAAGTGTTCCTTGTCTGCCAGCTGTTCAATTGAACTCTGTTAATGAAGGCAAAGTTTTCCAGGGTTATCATTCTGACCCTTAAACTTTATTATCTAGAAAACCATAAACTTTATAAAAAGATGTGAAAAGGCTTTTAAAACATTCGCTTAACAGAGCCTGTTTCCAGCCTCACCTTTTGATCTGCACTTGGTTTTAAGCTCCTGTCACCATGCCTGCTGATTACAATGGGACATGGGAAATGGAATCCAACGAAAACTTTGAAGGCTACATGGTTGCTTTAGGTAAATGAAAAATATTAAATATATAGATAAAAGATTCAATTATAAGTAAAATCCTTTCACGACTAATGAGAGACTAATTTTATTTCTGTAATGAGCCTTGTGGCATAAGAGTTTTTGGCAATCACATTAAAATCATATAATTGTAATGCATTTGCAGCTACAATACTGTAACATATAAGCAGAAGAAAATTTGTAGAAAGATATTATCCTTTATTAAAATAAGTGAAAAAAAGAGATACAGATGAGGAAAAAAACCAAATAGGCTTTCAGATATAGAAGCTCTTTCTTATTCCAGGTATATGCTTACTGTAATGGTTAAGCCATAACCTGGGTGGCTCTATTAAAAAGAAACAGGATATTTTATATCACTAAAGCAGCAATAGTGTTAAGTACTTAATTAGTGCTTTCAATTAGTAGAAACTGTAAAACAGTTGCATGGTAAAGGCTTTAAGAATTGAAATAGGCAAATATTTCTGACAATTTTTATGCGAGTGATCCTTACACAGCAAGGAGGTTTGTCACCAGGTTCCTAAACTTATGTTCACCCTCTGTGATGACATAAATATGCAAAAAGAGATGTTCTACTGTTCAGGAAGCTTTCATTTACTACTTTGGTAGTTTATTATCAGAGGTCTGACAGCTACAGTTTGTATATCCACTGTATAGGATATTTAACAGACTTATTTAGGTAGATGCTAGAAGAATACCAAAACAGTGTTAACTGAATGCTAGCAATATCCTTGTCAGTTTTTATCAAACTCATTTTATGTTGCTTGTAAACTTATTTTTACCCAGACTGGCATAATCACTTGTTGTAATGACCGTGAGAGAATTTTATGAGAAAAATACCTTCTTTTGCTTCACTTATTGTTTTCTTTCAATATAAATTGCATTTCAAGCACTTCTGTTCTCGTAAAGATATAAACTTATTTTTGCTCCAAGTCATTATGATTATGCAAGTAGCATGCAGGAAATCCTTCTACTTAAGTTAGCAGAGAAATAGATCCTTACTGAAAGCAAGAAATTTTAGAACAAGTCAACAGTTTCAAGAATTTCTTCAGTACACTCTCTGGATTGGCATTGAATGAACAACCGTCACCTTTCCACCACCATATTATGGCTGCATTCCAAAAATTGTAAAAAATATTAAAGCTAGATTTCTGCATACATGAAAAGTGTAATCTTTAGAATCAGGGGTCTTCTCCCAGTTCTACTACACAACACAGGAAGGACATAAAGGAGTGCTGTTTCTTTACTACTCATGATATCTATATAACTTATATAAAGTTAGTCATTGGAGCTGGCTAATTTAAACTAGATTGGAAGAGACTGGCTGACTCTGAATCACAAATAAGAACGTGGCAAAAATCAAACTTTAAATTTCTCAGCTGCTATCTCGCTGTTTTCTATCCAGTTGTCACAGATTTCTATCTTCTCTTCAGCATTTGCTCTTATTTGCGCTCTACCTTTCTACAGTAGCTGACGTCACTGTAAGTGTGATGCTGATAAACAGGAGTTTTTTCAAAGCAAAAAGTGGCTTTTATTTTTCTTCAGAAGTGGAGATCAGGCTTGTGGCTTCCTTATACCTTAGCAGTCTAATGGATCCTGAGTCAAGCTACTGGCAACCTTGTTAGCTCAGATTCCAAAGCAGTTGTAAACATGTAGATTTTAAAAAAGAATTCAGTGGTCCAAAAACAGTAAAAGTACACAGTATAGTCATCTTCCACAAGTTAAGAAAATATATTTGTTAGGAAGAAGGGTCTAACACATAGAAGGCAATTAGGTAATTAAATCTAACAATTTTCAGGTAATTTTAAATACCTACACTCGTGATTGATTTAGAAATAACTAACGGAAAAACTCTAGCTGAGCTAAAAGATATTATCCTTAAGCTTATTTTCTACTAGTTTTACTCTCATCAAAGAATCCTAATCCTAATTAATTTATCTGTTCAGACAGAAAGAGAAGAAATACACACACATATTACAGCCAACTGTCATGATCTGTCAAAAAGTCTTGAAAATAGTTACTATTTCCAACTCCTACGACAGAGAAAGGCAAGTTCTCAATATTTCAAGAAAGTTTTTAGCTCTCACAGTTATGAAGAAAAGTCTGGTAACTTCATGAAAGTCTGTAAATACTATATATCAATCCTTTCAAGATATATAAAAATTAATTCTTTTTTTTTTTAAATAAGAACAGTTAAGCCAGTATCATGAATTTCAGGAGATATGCACTAACTCCTTTGAGTGTTGGGATTTGAGAGTCATGTATAAAGAATAATTACTACTTTATATGCAACTGAAATGTGATTTCAGCATTAAATATGCTGGCTGCATGTGAGCCATGGGGCTTGTCTGGCTACTTTATAATCTGGATGATATTTAAATTAACTTCTGGTTGTCACAAGTTGACTACTGCAGGCTGTCCTCTTTGTCTAGCTCAGGCTTCTCTCACTGCCCACCCCGCCTTCTAGTCTTACCTCTAATTCTTGCTCCTACCTCAGTTCACCTTGCTCTGGCTCTGCTTCAGCCCTGCCTCAGTGTTTTGCTCCAAGACCTGACTTCCATCATGTCACTCTAACCACTAATCATGACTATCCTCCTGCTGTAGCTCTGTCTTGTTTTACAGTAATAAATTTCATCATATTTGATAACTCTCTTTTGGTACCTATCTTGATAAAGATCTCTTCAGTGTTTAGGTTTCTTCTTTCCTTATTTCTTAAGAAGCTCAATAAACAGCTGTAGTGTGTATCTCTCCCTTCCAAAAGGATTTGTAATTGCTGTGATTTCTTTTCATTTGGTTGTGGCAGTCATCTCAATATTGTTCCTTTCTTCCCTTTTACAGTATCATCCGATGAGATTGTTGCGTTAATTATTTTAGTTGAGCTACAACTTTACACTTTTATTTGCCTTAAAATACAGAGAAAATGTCAGGAAAAGGGATAGCAAGTGCTAATAACATGCATTTCATTGAAACTGAATGTGCCCACTCTGGAATTTAAGCTGTGATTTTCACTCACATGCCTAAGAATTTAGTGTCTAACTGCCATAATACCTATGTTAATTACTACCAGCTGTAAACTCAACTTTAATTATTATCATTCTTATATTCTGATCCTTTTAAAATAAGTAATGCATTTTCCAATGTTATATTGCTTCTTCTGCCATAAACGCTAGCCTGAACAGGGCTAGAGCAGTTCCTTACGGCATCTCAGTGTCATCCACAGAACCATTTCTGTCAGTGGTTAAAACAGGACACCTGATGAAAGCTACTTTTTTGATAAATTATGATATAACTAAATCAAGTGGATTTTTGATCACTTTCTGATTTTATTGTATTTCTCAGTGGAGATTGAGAGAAAAATGGACTGATTCAGACTACAGTGGGGTCTGCCCTACAGATATCAATACTGAGAAGCCTGCTTGAAAAGAGATAGTAACAGTTCATGAGAGTAAAAGCTCTTGACCCACTGAATAGCCTAAAACAAAGCAGGAGAGAGAATGTGTTAGAATAAGGAATGTAATATAGATTCAATTTTCCTGGGAAATAGTTTGATTCATTGCCTACCCTAGGCAGATTCTACTGGAGAAATACTTGCTTAGCTTGCTGACAGTGTTTTCACACTCCTTTCTCCATGAGAACCCCAGCAACTGGTTGAGATGAAGAAGCTATTCACAGCAGTTGTCTGGATCTGGCCCTTCATTAGTACACCTTTCATTAATACATGATTTTTTGTGTACGCATGCATACATATATTGTATCTTATACTATTGAAAAACTGCAACTGAATTAGTGAAGAAAACAATATAGAGACGCATAAGGTTATGGAGTGATCGACAGACTATGATGTCTTGTATTCACTTATCATCAGTGAAAGAAAATGACTTGGAAAGGGTGAGGAGACGTTCTTCCACTCTGTTTCTCCCAATTTTACATGTGGTTAATATTTTAAATATTAAAGTGTTTGGGTTCAAAGAACATAGACTTTTTTCTTTAAATTCATCCATCCTTATAATTAATACAGATGCAATTCTATACTTAATTAAGGAACAGTTTTGCCCTTTAAGCCAGAAACCTTGATTTTATCATAAACATGTTACAAAGCATTTTATTCTACTATAATAGAACAATATTTCATTTTTATTGCTTGCATTGTTCAAAATGCAGTTACGAAAACCATGCTTTAATAAAACCTCCCCTGATTTTTCTCCAGGAGCTACAAGACTAATACATTTAGTCAGAAATAGCTTTTCTTTGGAAGTCTAGACATTTTTTTCCTCAGAGAAACCTAAATTTTGTGTTACCTGGCTATAAATCAGATCCAGAGATACCTTTAATCCACCATAGCAGATAATATATACCCAAGAAGCCTTGAATATAAATACTGAACAAGAACATTATTCCCCATGTTAAAGAGTCACAATTTTTTCAAGCAAATCCTCTCACTCAATTCGATTAGTGCTTCAACAGTAGTATAATGAATCTACCAAAAGAAAAAGGACTCCATTAGTATGTGGCATTGCTGAGCTGACAATGATTAACTTCCACGTGAAACCGCTAAAAGATGGCTAACAAACCAAAACCATTTTTCAGTCTCTTACAGAAACATGTGAGATTATTCCATTTGCATATAGCACCATAATAAGATTCACTGCCAGCTGGTCAGAAATATTTATTGCAGATGGTAATGCAGCTGGCATTAGGCAGATTGTCTGGGGCAAGCTGTCATGACAGTAATATATATTCTCCTTTTGGTAACTTTCAATGCATACAGTTGCAAGCAGTTGTTTATTTTATAATGTTAGTCTTCATCATGAATAAAGTAAGGAATGTTAAGGAGATCAGTACTGCATAAAAGGCTGACAGCATATTAAAGACGAACTGTCAAACGCTGCACTTTGATTTTTTTGATTTTCTGTTTTTTACCATCCATCTGTACACGTATACGCACAGATACATATACACAAAGGAAGAAATCTTTCTTTAACATCTAACTACAAGCTGTTTCTGTCTCTGCTGCCTAAGGACAATGAATAAGTCAGGCTTTTATTTGATTGTTCCTTTTTTATTCATTATCATCATTTGTGTAATTTTTAATTAATTAATTAACCTCTTGTATATTCCCACAGACTGTAAGTTCAACATAAAAATAATATGCCAAAATCCCCTGGATTACATACTTACTCTAAAATGCTTATATACTGAACAGGAATCCTATTCTGAGAGCTTCCTTCTGGAGGGTGGCCAGCATTTGAAACCCTGCAGGACATATACCAATACCCTCAAATGCTTGAGAGCTACATGATTTATACTGTACACTCAGAAGGGAGAACGGCTCTCAGGCATAAGATGATAATAGCACTCCTGGCATCCCACAGCTTAACGTATGAGTGAGGCCAAACAGACACCAAGCAATGTCAGCCCCTAATGTCTCACATTCTCCTAAAGCTGTAGATTGAGATTATTTAACATGCCAGTATATGACCACTACTGGCTGCATATTATATCTCTGCTTATAACCTTCCTACAGTTACCCTTTTCATAAATAGGTGCAGACTAAGTAAGAGGATCCTCAAATTGAAGGTCTGCTTACAGAGAACACAAGATTTCCTTTTTTTTTTTTAAATGATCATCTTCTTTCCAAAATACTACAGGTAAAAATATCATTTGTGGAACTAACTGATCATTAAATATAGTGATATTTTTATAAAGTGCAAATATAAATGCTGGTAACAAATGTTGGAATTTTTCTTGTGATTCCTTTTTTTTCTGTTTATTGACAGATATTGATTTTGCGACTCGTAAAATTGCAAAGCATTTGAAACAAACAAAGGAGATTATTCAAGATGGAGATAATTTTAAAACAAAAACACTCAGCACTTTCAGAAACTATGAACTGAACTACACCGTGGGAGTGGAGTTCGAAGAATATACCAAAGGACTCGATAATCGAGTGGTAAAGGTATAAATTCAGTATCTGATTTCTGTTTGCAGGACAGCTGGCACTGGGAGTGAGCAGTTCAAAAATCAACTTAATAAATGAAGAAAAAAATTTACATGCATTAGAGAATTATTATAAAGCAGAAATAATTTGCATCTTGAGACAGTGTTCTTTCATGCCAGAAGCATTTATTTTACATGCAAATCAGGATGGTTACTCAGGTATGTGGTATAATTGCATGTTTTTCTGGTAGGGGATTTTCTCAGTCTTTCTATGATAAACCTTTACGTATTTAAAAAATAACAAAAAAGTATATTTTACCCTATGCAACTTCCTTAATGAAAGTGTAAATTAATCATTCTGAATTTAGGATTCTGTCTGTATGAGTTTAAATTTTCAGTTCTGAATTGCCAAATTCACACCGTTATCTTTAATCTGAGCCTGTGCAAGTTCAATTGGATAGCTTAAAAGTTCAACACTGTTAAAAATAAGCCTTCTCTCAGCTATTAACTTTAGGTAAGTTTCGAGAAGGGAGAGAAAGAAAATGTGAGCCAAAGTTACCCTGAGTGCAGGTGGAAATGTGGGCCTACTGGCAGTATAGACAGGCAAGAAGGCTTAATAGTACATGCTTTAAGCTCTGAAGAACTATGGGGATACCCTGAGCTCAAAAGTCCCCTAGGCTATGTTAGATATGGCTACGGCCACATCTACACACATCTCTGAGCTACGTGGGTGAGCAACATTTGGATCAAGAACCAGACTGCACGTTAGCTCATGCCCTATCTCTTATGACAGCAGACTCATCTCAAGTCAGTTCTTGTGAGGCATTCAAACAAGATTGTGCCATGGAAGCCAATGAGAAAAAGAACACACAAAATCACTGATTAAATTCGTATACTGAATTCAACTTCATGTTTCTATATCAATACTGCTTCTATTTTACTCTTCTTACCCCTAAAATATTTAAGCAAGAATCTGAAAAGTAGAAAGGGCAAGTATTTCTTAAATTTCCATTGACACTGCCACTTACAGCCTTGAAAATCTCCTTGAAACATCTACCTTTCTTGGACATCATTCACTGAACCTATCTATACCAACTCTTCTGCCAATGACAACAGTTTTATTCTTTCACTCAGCTCTCAGCTCTGTTGCTTCACTCCAACCATATTTTGTCATCTACATCACTATCTTAAAAATAAACAAAGTTTCAGACCATGCTGCCAACCTCTGAAAAAACAGTAGCTGAGATCAAAGCTCACTGTCAATACAACCCATTTTGTTTTGCCAGTTGTCACAGGAGGTTGGCAGCATAAAGGACATGTTTACATTTGAATTCCTATAGTCTTTCAGTGTAGTAGCATAGATTTAACTGAAGACATTGGTTAATCATTCTGGATCACTTATCACTCTTAAACCAACTTTGTGCAGTGTAATTGCTATGGGTTCTTCCAAATTATTTCTCATTCACAGCATCACAATGCATTAAATAACAAGCCCCATTTTTTTCTAGTATCTTGAATGTTTCTTGCCCTAATTAAAATTCTCCCCGCCACTTTCTCCAGTGAGCACTGGGAGGGATACTGTGACACAGTTTATGCTTTTGAACATTGCTCCCAATTTTCTTTAGATCAAAGGCATTACTGAGGATCTGAGGAGTCATTACTCCTTACATCCGTAGACTTATGCTCTCCTACTGCTCTTCTCCCCTATCGTTGCCTAATTCTGTGCAAAATCACTTAACTTGCAGACATCCTGATCTCCTCTTCATTATCAATTATCTGGCTAAAATAAGGAAATACAGCTTGTACAATTATAACCCTGCCTGGTTTAATCACTTTTACCTAATATTCTTCTCTAAACAAATTAGATTATTTGTTTGTAACAAGAGGAGGAGGAAAAGGGAAGCACATAGTGCTGTTAACCTCTGGAGTGCTCTAAAAAAATATTCTGGTCATTATATTAACAAAACAATACCTCAAACACACGGAAGTTAGATGAATAAAACCACTAGGCAACACTTAAAAGAGGTCATCAATTAAATTTAGAGAGCACGTAGCTTAAAATTCTGTAAATAAGACATAAGTTTACTGCAATGGAATGAGTTTTGTCTTGTTATTAACGGAAAGCTCCCTCATAAAATAAATAAATCATCCAGTACTGAACTAGAAAATGAATTAAACTCCTAATGCTCTTGGAGCTTTCTAATAACTGAACTTCCATTGACTTTAACTGGTCTCTGATGAGGGTTTACTTATGATACATGGTTAAATGTCTCCCCAAATTACAATGGTCCAAATCTAAAATAACCCAAAGGAAATTGGTCTGAATTTAGTCTAGCATATCTTAGTAGAGAATTTAGCCTGTAAAATAACTTTTCATTTCAGCGCTGGTCATCCTGCTACTGGACAAGAATCAACATATCCATCATTATCCAGTATCTCCCATAAAAATAATCATCTAGGACTGAAGCAAAAAATGAATTAACCTCCTAAGGTTCTTGGAGCTTCTGGATGCCAGAACTTCCAGTGCATATTTTTCCAACAGCTGCAGTCTGTTCTGCTACACAATACTAGCATTAACAAGATCATTTAGGTCAAATAAGAATTTGGTTTGGATAATATATTTGGGGAAGCTACTGTCAAACTCTTCGGAGGAAGATGTCTATGAAGCAGAACAAGAGGGCAGTCTAAAGTTCTTTGAAGTATTTTTTTTCCTACTGTACAGAGACTGAGAAATATGAAATGATCTGTGGATTACTGGGCATTGTTATACATTCATTCCACAATAATTAAGCAAAATCTTTGCACTAAATTTTTCTACTTCCTTACTAAAACTTGCTGCCATTGTCCCTCTTGTGAAAAAAGGATGGGTCTTTGTCCATCCTTTGATAAGTAATCTATAAAATACCTGGCTGCTGAAGAAAAGGGGAACCATCTACCCATTTGGTTATTTGATTTTTTTCCATGTTTTACAAGAGTCTTTAACAAGTTTTGCTCATCTCTGCTTAGACTCTTCTCAGTCTTGCATCCATAGTTCTGATCATAAGTATAGATTAGTCACTTTAATGAACAGCCATTACTTTGTTTTTAACTTCCTCTGTCTTGTACATACGGACTTGGAGTCAGCCATTTCTTTACTATGCAACATATTACTATAGTGTGTTTCAAACACTGGAATCATCTTCAGAGACTGTCCTTTGGGCTATCCCTGCTATCTGAATCTACCATTGCTTAAACCTTTGACCCTAAATTTCACCCCAAGAGTAGACCTCAGAGACCTAGTAGAGTTCCATTTTCTTCTCTCTCATTTAATTATGTTTGTCCCTCGATCCCTGATAAGTATTCTAGGATGCATCCTAGCTTACCCCTGGGTAACCTGCTACATTTCAGAAGTATGATACTTTAGTTATGTGTTACTGATTTCTATTTAGACTAATTAAATTCTTTCTTTCACAGAACTTCTAAATCCTTCAGCTTCACAGAGCCCACAAAGTTGCAGATATCTCATGAATCTGTAGACTTCAGCAAATCACATTCGCCATATTCTAGTGGAGACTGGTGGACTAGGCTCCAATTCTGTTAACATCCTGTTTTAATTATTCATAATCTCTTGAGAATTTCATTATGCCTTTCTGACTTCACACACTTGCATACACTGACCAGTGTTGTCACACAGTCACTCCTGCATCTGCTGCTTATTCTGCCTCGAACTCATATCCAGCCCCCTGCCCTTCTCCTTCAATGCATTAGTGACTCAGTGTAAATTTCTCTGTAAAAGCCTCTTTCTCTCCTTGGCTTTTGACCATCTCTCTTTAAAGTTATTTTGTGAAAGTGCATGAAAAATGTTATAAAATAAGCATATTGTACAAGATGATATTAACATATATTTCCTCTTGCTATTTGATGAAGAGTTGGAAAAGTTGTTAGCAGTGCACTAGTTGGTATAAGCTCCAGGCTCCAGATCTTCACTCATGAAACCTTATAATCTTTTTGCAAGAAAAATACAGTTTTCCTACATTCATTTCACATAAGTACCTGACTGTAAACTGACTGAGAAATTCCCTAGCTAAAATGAACACTGTGTATTAGTGTATGTGAAGAAATACTTGGAAATTGACAACATAGAAAGAACTGTAAAAGCTTCACATCTAAAAGCTACTATCTTATTGAAAGCATTTAGGGTTTTGGTTGAGTGGTTGGTTGATTTGGGTCTTTTTCTTTTTTCAGGAAGAGGATGGGGTATAGCAGGAAGCAAATGCAAACAGTGTCTTGTCATTGCTTGATTGAGTTTATTTTCATGTATTCATATATATCTTTTCATCATATCTGAGTAAATTATTTGATTCATGCAGACACTAGTGACCTGGGATGGTGACAAACTGGTATGTGTTCAGAAAGGTGAAAAGAAAAACAGGGGTTGGAAGCACTGGATTGAAGGAGACAAACTTTATCTGGTAAGGGCTGCTATACTGATGCTTTAGTAAAGTAGAACACTTTCATTTCAAAGGTGTTACTACTTATTCCATTTAGAATGGTCTTCATTCAGATAACTCTGATCTCTGAACTGTTAAGATAACCTACCCCCCACTACAATTCAGGAGTGCTCAGTTTCTTTCCACCTACTCCCAATTAAATCATAACCCTGCAGTGATTTTTGCTCATGTCCACTGCCTTTCAGCCATTAACCCTTTCTGTTACATTGCACCTCCAACATCTTCTGGTTCTCATATAATCACTGGAAGGGAAAAAAAAACAGTATAGGCAAAAGATTAAAAGAAAAATGTTATTCTTTGTCCTGAAACAAGAACTATGCAGTTTTAACAAGAACTATGCAGTAATCCAGATCAGAAAACACTCTCAGTATACTCAAGAGGATCCTACAAACAATCTACTCTGCAATTATTTTGTGCTAGTACAATAAAAAAAAAAAAAACTTCAAACAGCTGAGTTAGTAAGCTGGGGCCCAAAGATAAATGAAGTGAGCCTGAGATAGGCCTTACGAGCCTGTGCAGGAAATGAGCAGTCAGTGAGGTCTGGAAAGAAAAATAACAGATTACAGAATAATACCAACATTTTTGGAAGAACAATCAAGAAATGGACATGGTAATGTTGAGCATTGCAATAGGTAGGTGCAGAACAATTATGCAGAGAGGTTTATTAATTCCAGCTTGTGATTTGGATCTAGATTTCTACTCCTTGACAGGTTTACCCTATAGATGGATGGTACAGCTAGCTAATACTGCCTGAAGTCTCTGTGCTTAGAAGGTCAAGAAGATGAACTAAGAAAACCATATTCCTCCATCTAACTAAAAGCCAGTATCGAATACAGCTGTCCAGCATCCTTTTTAACTCTATTCAAAAATTGTACTGACAAAGATGCTATATGCTGGCACCAGGATTCAAGCTCAGACTGCTGGAAACAGAGAGACCAAGTAGATTCTCACGACACTCTATTGCAGCTTTGCGAACTGCTGGCCAAAAGTCACCTCTTACTGGCCTGGGAATGCTAACTAGTCAGAAGGCTGATCAAACCACATGCATTGCAGTGTGCAAGTGTGCCAGGCTTTATCAGTTCAGCTGTAACACTTTGCAAAAACACTGTATTGATCTGACCCTGGAACAATCACTAAGCATATCTGTTCTCTGAAGCAAATGTCCCCCACTTGAAGTGTCCTCCACTATTTTTTTGACAGTTTCCTTGTTTCATGCTTCTCACAAATTATGAGTAATAAGAGAATTATAAAATATATATAAAATATTACATTATATTGTTTTAACAACAGAGCATGCAAAAGCCTCTCACTACAGAGCAATTTTTAGGCATTTTCATTTTTATATTTTTAAAAGCTCAATTTAAGTGTCAAAATCTAATTACTACAGCCTGTAGTGCATGACAGCTGATTGGTTACATCTAATAAACTATTATTTATTTCTATTCTCTTTTTCATAAGCACAACTTTTTAATGCAGTGGCTCAGTCACAGTAACTTCGGGGGGAGCTGCGGTGTACATGAAATACAGCTTGTACCACTACATACTTATGAATTGTTTTAATGCTGTAGGAACTGACATGTGAAGACCAGGTGTGCCAGCAGGTATTTAAGAAGAAAAACTAAAACTGACCAGAAACCCCTCCAGATCTTCATCATACTATTTTGTTATCATGTTTTGCCTTAAAAAAAAAGAACCAAACCAGATTTGCAATAAAATTCTTTGACACTGCCATGTGAATGCATTTTTGAGTATGCTTCTGGAGACAAACATATTTTATCAAAATAACATGAAACAGCTATGAATATCATAAATTCTTTTATTTTTTCAGTCTGAGGTTAAATAAAAGTAATTGTCTTTCAAGTAATGTTTTGCTCTACTCTTAGAATATTTGCAATTCTTTCCAGAGGAATGTTTCTAAGAGCTTTAGCAACAGCGCTGGAAATAAATAGTCACAATTATTTCAGCCATGGTGTATCTCTCTATAGTGCTGTAGCATCATAATATATTTAAATGACTCAAAATTTGACATTCTTTAGAATGTTTCTATTTAATTTAGTGCTGGATCACTAAGTCCACGGTTTGAAGCAACAGGATGGTTCATCAAACTTGTAACAGGATACACAGCTTTTCATATTTACGTTATTCATTTGAAATTGGCCCAGGTCTATAGCTGCTGGAGGTTGTTACCACCTGATAAATCTCTCATGGCCTGTGTGAAATGCTGTAGTTCCTTAATAGAGTCCTAACAGATAGCTGTCTATTCTCCTAACCTCCAGTTAGAGTTGCCATCCTACTAATAACCCCAGTGGAGAAGTCAGAATATTTGAGGCACATTCTCCATTCAAGAGTTGCTCCATAAAGTTAAACCTGAGGCACGCCTATGGCTGCAAGAGGAAAAAGGCTAAGTTTACATGGGCTCCATGTATCCTGTGCATGAAGAGTATCCAGCATGCTATCTTCATCTTGTAAGCTGCCTTTTGCAGACTTTACAGAAAAGTCATTTCCATACAACTGTTTTCAGTTTTATTACCTGGTATTTAGGGTTTTTCAAAAGACTTCATGCTCTTTGCTGTAGGCAAGTTTAAATTAGCCATGGATGGTGAGAACTACTTCTTCAGTAAATGGAAACAAAAATCATTCAAAAAAAGGGGAATGCACATTCCACAGATCTGAAGAAGGGCTTCTATGCCCAAAAGCTCATCTGTTTTTTTCAAACTGCATGAATTATTCTAATAAAATAATGTCAGAATCAAATATTCAAAATAATACTGTCTTGCCCTACAAACCTTGCCTTGCAGACGTATCAGCCATCATATAAACTTTATCAGCATTTCAGTTCCCTCCTGTCCATCTTCTGTTTGGTACTGGAGGCAGGAACTCACCAAACAGACCAGTGCTAAGGAACTGGAAAAAAGATGTGGGAAAAAACCTTTGCAGAAAGAGAGGATCATGTGTTCTTTCCCCATCCACACTAGCTGTTTAGCCTATTCAGTCACTGTCAGTATCTCCAGTTTGGAAAGGGGCAGATACAGTCCCCCAGCTTAAAATAAGGCTGCAGCTGCACAAGTCCAAAACTGACTACTTTGTCACTGATACTTACATGGCCCTGTGCATTTAAGTGCAAATACAGATGTAGGGATATTTTTATGAATTAGACCTTGCTTCTCCCAATAGAAAAATCGACCTGGGGTGAATTCTTGTATGATTTAATTAAGCAATGTTTACATTAGTCCACATTGAAGAAACTGAACTTGGAGTTGGTAAACTTATTTCTTCGTATTCAACCCTGATCTGGACTTTCCACTTCCTGAGTCTCTGCTAGTTACTAGGCTTAGAAAGAACACATCAAGTGACCGCCCACAGTTCATTAAGCTTTCAAATGTTATCAGAACAAAGTAATCACTAGGGGGAAAAATGTTCTTGTTCTAATCAGTGAAATTTCTCATATTTGGCTCTTGTCAGGAGAAAACTTGCTCAATGCAGGGTTTCATTACGTCATATCAAATCATAAACCAAAGATTTGATAAATCACCAAGATGTGATAAATTTTCATATATCACAAAGTGTTATCATTAATGTATAAATGTTGAATTTTGAAGATGGAAAGCAAGTATTCTTCAATTGATTTCTTGTTATATTTACTATTTTTATCTGATGGATGTGGATGGGGCGCCATTTTAAAGATGTGATAAATTTGCGCCGCTATTTTTATCTGATGGATGTGGATGGGAAGTAAATCAAGTGCATTCAGGCACTTGAGCTAAGTTTAATTAGGGAGAAAAGTGGATCTGACTTTTATTCACAGATTCAAGACCTGAGAATTCTAGGCTTTTTAACAGGGAGAGAAAAAATGTGCAAGACTGTCTACACTGTGAAACACTTTCTTCCTGCTGGCTCAGAATCCACTTTGCACATACTGATACACAAGAACTCACAGTATCCTTTACACCTATGTGCACAGAACTGGAGACAGATAACAAACTAGTTATTATGTTGCAAGACAATTACTGCCAGAGGCATACTGGTTTATATAATATTTGTTACATTAGCTCGGTCTGTAAGCTGTACAAAGTCGCTTATCTCCTTGTCAGCAGATGACACACTCGCACTGAAGGAACAGAGCTCGCCGGTAACTTACAGAATGCTCGTTCACAACTTCTCAGTCCTCTTGCATACAATATTGTCTCAGCCGTTTTGAAGGACTACCATTTGCATTGTTCCTTTTCCTCAAAAAGAATATTACTCAAATACGGCTAACGGGAAGGAAGTTACCAGCAGCCTGCTGATCTAGGCAACAGAAAAGCCTGTGTTATAACAAAAGCACTTCCTAGCGAGTACAGTACTGGGCAGAGAGTCAGTAGCATTACCTGTCACTGGACTTTTCAAATGAAAATGACACAGGTGTGTATAGGAAATAGTGAGAAATGTTTTATGGTGAGATTTCTAAATATCCTCAGGACTGAACCAGTTTTGCTCCCTGAAAATCAACTGGCATTTTGCTATCAACTGTTAAAAGAAGAACGTAACGCTGTAGGCTAATGCTGCAAATGCTCCCACCAATAATGTTCAGTGGCTACTTCCTAAGACGCTGCCCTTCCCTAAGGCTTTGGATGTTCAGCCAGGTTGTATGCAGACAGAATGGCTTTCAAATTTTTCCACGATTATCCTACCCGCCCCTGCTGACTTGCTGCTTGTGAAAAGATCTCTACTCCACCGCCATCTGGCAAAAAGTCTTAAGCTTTCAGCTCAACATTTACTTAAGATCTGATGAAGACAAACAAAATTTCACCAAAAAAAGTTATTTAATGATATTTGTTTCTGTTCTTTTTAAAATATAGGGCATATTTCACTTTAGTAGGAAGATATTAATAGAAAGGCATTCAGATTTCTTATGAAGGTTTTCTTCCACCGGAACACATTCCTTTCAGTTTTAATTTGTGATTGATTTGAAGGGCAGAGGTTGCAGATATTTTAATTTCAGCCTGCTGATTACACTTGTTATGCAGATGGTGAAGATCAGAAGATTAGAATAAATCACTTTGTGAAAATGAAATTTAAAATAAAATTAACCAGACAAGCTTTTAAAGAGTTGCAAAAATTTTGTCAATTATTCTCTAAGTTTCAAATTTGCTTTAATTATAATGCACATTGCAGTGCTTCAGTTATCATTAAGCAGAACTGGGAAAGCAATGCATGAGAGTACATAGTCCAGAGTTCTCAGAGGTGGAGGAATTCATGGAAACATGTGAAACCTTGCCTTATGTGACAGCAAACTGAGAACCTGTTTTGGCCTGCGAACATAAACATGAACGGCTGCATGCTGTTATCCATACCCAAAGACAGGACAAGAAAGACAGGACACGAAGTAACAGATTTAAATCACATCAGGGGAACTTCAGATAGATGTTACCAACCCCTCTGCACCGTAAAGATCATGAAGGACTGGAAGAGGTTGCCTCATTAGCTTGTGGAGTCCCCAAGAAACAGGTAAAACTGATTCTGCCCTTGGCAAGCATGGGCTATATGATCCCTCGAGGTGCTTTCTGGGGCTACTGCTCTGTGATTCTGTTTATTCCTCCATCCAGACCACGTTTAAAGAGGATCAATAAACACATCAATACTCTAGCATACTTGCTGAAAAAGGTTTATCCAGCTTTAAATACTGTAGTTAAAGGTCTTGAAGGTGTGGATGCATGATGAGTGTGGATGGAAAATGAGTCTGATTGTAGGCACTAATTAAGAAACTAGTCATGATCAAAGATTTGAGTTGTTTGCTATGTTCTTCTGTGGCCTCCACCCAAAGTACAAAACAAGTTGCAGTAAGGGAGCAGCACTCTGAGCAAGAGCCCAATTCTGGAACCCCTCATAGAGCAATGAAATGCATTCATTCTCCTCAGTGTTACTGGCTTCAGGCTGGCTAGACACAGGTACACCTAATTGTTTTGGTTGTATTTAAACTAGATGTTCAAAAATTTTTGCACCCATGAGAACTAGTAATATTGTGTATATCAGACATTAATGGACATTGTCTGAGTAAGACTTCAGGAGTTTGGGATGTTCCGTTAACCAGTGGTGCTCATTCCTCAGTCACACCTACCTAGAGTTCCAGTACCCTACATAAAAATGATATGCTAATTAAAAATTTTAATTAAAAAAATTAATCTTTCCACATATACATATAAAGGCTAATAAAATAAAGGGAAAGAACAGTGAAATTCGAATTTGAAAGGAAATAGGGGAAATCGTATTAAAATGTGAGCATAGGGATTGGGCGTAAAAAACAGATTTACAATGTTTAATGATATCCATCAGGCTGTTGAGGAAGATTGTTCATACTGACCACCATAATATTGGCACACTACAAAAAATGATGCACCCTACGGTGCAGGAGTGCTAACACAGGGCAATACTACTGCCTTCAAATGTATCCATGCATTAGTGCAATACAAAGCCAACTCAGACTTTTAAAATGTTTATTCTATGACCAGAATACTATACTGAATTTGTTACCACTCAGGTTCACCAGAGGATTAGACCAAGTGCCTGTTAGTTCTTTCCATTTATTTGTATAGTAACCATAGGTCCAACTATAATGCTCACTTTCCTGCCACCAGCAAATCAAGCTGAATCTTTCAACTGTACCTGTACTAAAGCTTGACAAGACTGTCAGATAGACCTCAAATATATTACATTCTTACAGTTTTTACTATGAAAATGCCCAAATAGAGTACTAAGAGAAAGGCTACAGAACAAACTTATGTTTACCTAAACCCAGATACAAGCCTTAAGAACCACCGGA